CAAGATTATCTTCTGTGTCTGTGTTAATTGGTTTCCCTTTTCTTTGTTGAAGAGGGTCTGTGCAATCCTTCTGCCTAGTCCGCCATCTTGCCCCGCCCCTCACAGGTGTGTTTTCAAGGGATAAATTTCTAGTGGGTTTCTGCTTTAAAGGTCATTATCTACATTAAAGCATGTGGATCAATTCTCTTAAAGGAAAAAAAAAAAAAACATTTTTTCTCTCAGCATTGGTTAATTTAGGATTAGCCAGCAAATGAATGAATGAAGGCACAATGGTAACCAAAAATAAATAAACAAATAATGGCTGTAATTTTATAATAAGTTCCCATCCTTGGTGACCAAGCCCAGAGAGCAACTCATCAAAAAATACAACACCTAGCATCCATGAAAAGATGGCACCAGAGTGAAAAACCTATAGCCAATGACAGCTGCTATGTAGTTACTCTGTCAGTTTTTTCAAGTACATTTCACTATGAATTTGCATTCTATATTTTCACAATTTGCATTGTTTTCTTTCACAGCCAGGAGCCCAATTTTCACTCATCTTGTTACAAGCTTAAAAGGACTATGGACACTCCGTGCTTTTGGACGCCAGCCTTACTTTGAAACTCTGTTCCACAAAACTCTGAATTTGCACACTGCTAACTGGTTCTTGTACCTGTCGACACTCCGCTGGTTCCAAATGCGAGTAGAAATGATTTTTGTCATCTTCTTCATTGCTGTTACCTTCACTTCCATTTTAACAACAGGTATTGGGAACTAACTATTTACCTAAGCATTTCATCTAAAACTTTGTCAATTTTAAAATGTGACATTGTTAGAGATTAAAACTTTAAATATTTCTAAACAGATTTTTTCAGTTTATTAATAAAAAATTGTTGGTTTATTGTTGAACATATGGTTTCTTTGAATTTTTGTTAATATACTGTTGAACAAGTGATTTCATTGAATTAGAGTCGTATAAATTATAATCCCTTCTTTACAGTTACGGAAAAAGACAAATAAATTAAAAAAAAAGCAGAAGACATGAATAGACACTTCACCAAGGACGATATTCAGGCAACCAACAAACATGAAGAAAAAAATAGGAAGAGTGCAAAAAGAAAACAAGAAATGGGGTTAGTCACGAGGAAAAAAAATAGGGGAAAAAAAAAAAAAAAACAACAACCCTGAGATACATAGAGTATCACATAACAAATACATGATTAACAGAAAAGAAAGAAAGAACCTTTTCACTATCACATAGGTAAAGAGTCCTGGCTTCAAATTCACAGACCTCTTTATTAAAGAGCTCTTGGTGAGATTGACCTCACACCCTCATTGACCTCTCTAAACCCTTCATTTTTCTCATCTGTAAATAGTACTTACCTCAAGGTTTGTAGTAAGTATGAAATGTGATGATTTGTTTGAAGTACTTAGTGTAGTGCATGATCCATAATAAACGCAAGGCAAAGGCAACCATTGCCGTGGAGTCAGATCCGACCCATAGTGACCCCTCCTTGGGTTTCTGAGGCAGTATCACTATGGAAGTAGATTGCCCAACCTTCCTTCTGGGGAGTGGCCGGTGGTTTTGAACCGCCAGCCTTCTGGTTAGTAGTCAAGTGCCTTAGGCACTATGCTACCAGAGCTCCTGGTCCATAATAAGTACACAATAATTGTGATATTGCTTTTATTATGTTTATTATTAAAATTTCATCTTATTCTAATCTTTAACCTCCAGAATGAGTAATATGTTAGAGCCCTGGATAAATCTTACCTATTATCTATGGTTTGTTGTCTGTTAGAGGAATCTTGGGAACAAAAAATTTGATTATTAGTATAAATTATTTCTCCCAATGGTAGAACTTGTGACAAGTTTATCATGCATTATAGATGCAAGAATGCTTTTCAATTAGGACTTGGTAACCAAGGGTTGTAATAAAGTTAAAAATATTCTTTTGAAAATTTTGATGGCTATAGTACTGAATATACGTAAATTTTAATTAGCAGTCACCTTCAGCCCAGAAAACCACTTAATTAACCATGGTACTTCCCAGATGAAACATAGAGAACAACTTCCTCTCTTTCCCAAATGGCAAACCTATGAGTTTTTTGACTGTCTCATGCAAATTTAAGTCCCTTTTCTTCCTAGTAGCATTTATTAGCACAGATTGTTTTGCCTGTGTGAGCATGAAGCACATCTAAACACCTGTGGATGCTGCTCAAACACATTCTTCCCCTGCTCACGACTTCTCATAGAGTAGCTTTTCTGGACACAGAATTTTTCTTTTCTATTGCCCATTCTAGGTTTTGATAGCATTATTACTTACAGTAGAAGAAAGAAAGATGGTGTTTACTGAATACCAATAGCCCTTTTGATACCTCAAGCATTTTAAAAAAGGAAAACTCTTTCCTAATACTTATTATTCTTTGATTTAAAACATTGGTTGAAAACTTACTATGTGTAGAGCATTGTTTCTACTGGTAAATGCTACAGTGAACTGAGATGAAAGGAAGATTAAAATCAGCACAAAAACGAAATGTAACTTTAATATGATATGTGTCAGAGGACAGGCATAAAGAAAGTGGCTGACAGAAGAGAAATAGCATAAACCTTGTTTATTATTTCTCTGAAAAATTAAGGCTCTTAAAATATCTTTTCCCCACCTATAGGTGAAGGAGAAGGAACAATTGGTATTATTCTAACATTAGCCATGAATATCATGAGCACATTGCAGTGGGCTGTAAATTCCAGCATAGATGTGGACAGTTTGGTAAGTCATTATTGTTTGTAACTATTATGAGAAATTTCAGACAAACCAAAAAGTATGTTGTTTATTGTTGTTGTTATGAGAAATTTCAGACAAACTAAAAAGTATAGATAATAACAAAAAATAACTAAATATCCAACACTCAGTTTTAAGAAATAAAACATTATAAGTAAATCAAAGGCCACTGTGTATCTTTCATTACTCATATCTCTTTTCTACCCATTTTTTTTTCTGTTGTTGTTGTTAGGTGCCATTGAGTCCATTTTCAGCTCATAACCACCCAATGTGACAGAGTAGAATGGTTCCATAGGGTTTTCAAGAGCGTGGTCTTTATGGAAGCACATCACCAAGTCTTCCTGTCACTGAGCTGCTAAATGGGTTCAAACAGCCAACCTTTAGGTTAGTAGACAAGCGCTTAACCATCAGGGCTCCATTTCTACCCATAACTGCTATCAGAAACTAGTGCTGCAGTGAACATGCTTGCGTGACTCCTTGTCCAGGAGTTTTCTAGGGCAGATATCTAGGAGTGGTGTTGCTGGGTCACTGAATATACCTACATTCACCTTTATTGTTATAGTATCAAAGTGCTCTCAAATCTGTTGTACACATTTGTACTCACAGAAGGAGAGTATAAGAATTCCCATAGGTCTACATCCTCAGCAGCTCTTAATATTGTCATGCTTTTTAATTTTGGCAATATGATGCATACAAAGTGATTACTAAACAGACTGGTCAACTTAACTCATGTTTATTGGTCATTTGGGTTTCCTCTTTCGTTAATTGCTTATTCATATTGTTTCCCCATTTTGCAATTAGGCTGTCCTTTTTTGTTTGTTTGTTTTTTAAATTGATTCATGGGAATTTACAAATTATAAATCAATTGTTCAAAAATGTATTTCAAACAGTTTCCCTGTCAGTGGACTAGTTTATAGTGTTGTTTGATGAAAATAAGGATCCTCAGTGGCACAGTGGTTAAAGCAGTCAGTTGATGACAGGTGGGTGGTTTGAACCTACCAGCTGCTCCATGGGAGAAAGATATGGCAGTTTGCTTCCATAAAGATTAAAACTCAAACCAAACTCACTGCCATTGAGTCAATCCCAATTCATAGTGACCCATCTTGGGTTTCCAAGGCAGTATCACAACGGAAGTAGATTGCCCAATCTTCCTTCCAAGGAGAGTCTGGTGGGTTTGAACCACCAGCCTTCTGATTAGCAGTCAAATGCCTTAGGCACTACACCACCAGAACTCCCCCATAAAGATTACAGCCTTGGAAATCCTATGGGGTAGTTCTACTCTGTCCTATAAGGTTGTTATGAGTCTGAATTAACTCAACAGTGGGTTTCTTTCTTATTTATTATTTTAATGAAAATAAGTTTTTAATTTTAATGAAGTTAAATTTATTAATCTTTTCCTTTATATGCTGTGCTTTTGATTATCTTTCCTATTTTGAGTCCATAAAAATGTCACCTTGTATCTTCTAAAAGTTAAAAAAATTCACTTCATATAAAGAGATTTTCAGTCTGGCATTTCTTTTTATGTATATGTTGATGTTGGCATCTAATTTTGTTGTGTTCATCTGCAACCTAGTTTCCTAGTGCCATATATGAAATAGTCCATCTTTTCTCCACTGACCCTGAATGTAATATTTGCCAGTGGTTCTTCTCTGGGCTCTGTTCCGTTCCATTGGCCTATTTATCCATTTCTGTCTTCTGGTAGCATAGCGCCTAAGGCATTTGACTACTAACCAGAAGGCTGGCAGTTCAAACCCACCAGTCACTTCCTGGAAGGAAGATTGGGCAATCTATTTCTGTAGTGATACCACCTTGAAAACCCAAGGAGGAGGGGTTGCTATGAGTCAGATCCAACTCAATGGCAGTGAGTTTGTTTTTCTTTTGTCTTAATACTACCCTGCCTTAATTACTATCTTTTAATTTAGTAGCGTAAGCCCCAGGGATACAGGTGAGGAGAGACAACTCAGGGACGCCCAAAGCAGCAGGCCAGAAGAGCAGAAGAAAGGGGATTAAAAGCCAGGAAGCCAGACAGAGGAGCAGTCAGCCACAGGGACCCAGGTGGGGGTGATACGAGCGGTCTCCAACAGCAAGACAAACTTGTCTGTCAGTTTGTCCTAC